ATTAGTAGAATATCCTAATAGTTTAGTGGTTGGAGTATCAGTTTTCAATTTTAAGGTACTGGGTTCGATTCTTGCTAGTGACAATTCTTTTAGTTTAATATAATTTACCTACGGATATTATCCGTAGGTAATTATCCATTACCTACGGATAGGTAATTATCCATTACCTACGGATAATATCCGTAGGTAATGGATAATTACCTACGGATTTTCATCCGTAGGTAATGTAAAATTTACCTACGGATTTGTATCCGTAGGTAATATTCCGTAGGTAATAGGCTTTTTTTTTGTAGTGAATCTAACTTGATTAATACAAAAATATATAACTTGGATGAATATATTTTGGATAAAACCTAGCTCAGTTTTAATATATAACTTATGATTTGAGATTAACTTTTTTTATTTGTTTAAAATAAGTTACAAAACACTCCATTTTATATAACTTTTGATATAAATTTGATGAGTTATGAAGGTTCCATCTTTTCACACTAGATTGCACTAGGTGAGAATATTGATATATTATGACAGCTACGTTTAACATGTTGTGATAGTTATGTTTTTCCATTATAGTCTCTACTAGGTGAATAAACCGACATATGTTATATTTTAAAGTGATCTATGTTAGCTTCAACTTTTTAGTGTGGAATAGTGTAATGTAGAGCTAAATATAACACAAAACCAAGTGTAGCAGGAAACTAAACATAACAAAAAACAAAGTGTAATATGGAGCTAAATGTGACGTAATTATTTTGACAAGTTAAATTAACAAATAACGTTTAAATTTGAGGTATTTACTATTTACCTCAATTGTAATGTCTTTAGATAAGTTGCATTTCATGTCCTTATGTATGAACTTGTTCTCTAACAAGTTTAACTACAAGATCTGAATAAGGTTGGACCCATGAGATCATTAGTTGGGGTTATGTGAGCTAAATGGTTTTGTGATTTGCTTAATGGGTTAAAAAATCCTTTGAAATGTTGACTCAAAAGTTTTGAATTAACATTCTACCCACAATACCATATTGATCAATCTCTCTCCCCCGCCAAGGGTTAAGATAGAAAATAAATGAATATTTGAGAAAAATAATAGAACAATTTAAAGATGTAAGTCTCACCATAAACAACATTTTCCCTGATGTAATCATTCACTCCATGATAAAAGGATTAAGGTGATGACCATTTTTGGATAGCTTGTACATTGATTATCCAGAGTCTTTAGAAGAACTCAAAACTCAGGTCTCTAAGTTCATACAATTAGAGAAAATATTAAACTTAGGAAGAGAAGTGATCAATCTGTTTAAGAGATACAACTTAGACAAAAAAATTAGACAAGAAAGAAAATTCACACCCTTAACTGTTAATGTTGAAATTGTCATATGGAACATAGAAATGCATAATTGAATATAGTAATTTGCGTTAAGTAGAACTAAATGTACTCGTTCAGATCTACTTCTCCTCCAAACCTTTTCATAAAAGGAGTTTTCCATATAACAACAGGTAATGCCTCCACTAAAATACCAAGAGTGAAGGGACTCTCGAGTTTCAACTTTGATTGTCCTCATATATGATGACTAAGTTTCAATATTGCTTGTTCTTATCACTACTACAAAATATACTTTCTACGTCGTCATTTAACGTCGGTTATAGCTGAGACGACGTAGAAAGTACTTTCCACGTCGGTTCCCATATGAACCGCCAAGAGTGAAGGGACTCTCGAGTTTCAACTTTGATTGTCCTCATATATGATGACTAAGTTTCAATATTGCTTGTTCTTATCACTACTACAAAATATACTTTCTACGTCGTCACTTAACGTCGGTTATAGCTGAGACGACGTAGAAAGTACTTTCCACGTCGGTTCCCATATGAACCGACGTGGAAAGTCTTTTTTTTTTTCACCCAAAAACTCACTTAATTTTGAAAATTGTCATTGGCAGGATTCAAACCCAGTACTTTAGAGTTAGAGGTCGATACTCCAACCACTAAACTACTAGAATTTTCTCGATAATAACTTATAAATAAATTATATTTATATACAAAAAAATATATATCCATGTAAATATATATTTATTTGTATATATTTTCTGGAAAGTATTTTTATTTTTTTTTCAACCAAAAATTCTCTTAAGTTAATGAATTGTCATCGATAGCATTTGAACCCAGTATTTTAGGGTTGAAAGTTAATATCCCAACCACTAAACTACTATAATTTTTTTATAATAACTTACAAATAAATTATATTGGTATTTTTCGATCGAGGGTGAAAGTGTGATTGACTCTTGCTTGAGTGAAAATATGTTAAAGCTCACTGAAATTCACTCACTCAAGTCTCGCTTGAGCGAAAATTGGTATTTTTCGCTTGAGAGCAAATAACGCGTTTCCCAAATTTATTTTATATCATTATATAAATAAAATTATAAAAATTATATTCTGTCATTAAATTACAAAACTCATATAAAGATACCTGCTCACAAATTTAGCATCAAATTTTGAAAACCCACTCGACACACACTTTCACTTTCGAGTGTGCCCTCACATTCAACATATAAATATATAATTATATAAATATATCAAAATATATAAATATATTTGTATTTATATATTTATATATTTACACGGATATATATTTATTTGTATATAAATATAATTTATTTGTAAGTTATTATCGGAAAATTCTAGTAGTTTAGTGGTTGGAGTATCGACCTCCAACTCTAAAGTATCTGGGTTCGAATCCTGCCAATGATAATTCTCTTAATAAATTAATAAACTTCTAAAAAATATAATATAAAGAGATGGAGGATCTAATAAAAATATAATATAAAGAGAGGGAGACTTTTAGATAAATAAAAGGGGTAAAAAGGTTGTAAATAAATAAAAATTATTAATTTAAAAAATCATGCTTTCGACGTTGAAAGCCTTCCAGAACCGACATTGAAAGCTTTATTTGTAGTAGTGTATATATTATGAGAATTAGATTTCTTTCCACTTATTTCGAGCTTAGTCCCATTAAATGGTAAAATGTGACTACCTGCCATATGTTTCATTAGCCCCATGATAAGTGTCAAATACTCTTGTGAAAAAATTACAATAATAAATAAGTTCATCAATACCAATCAATGAGATTTGATAAGTCAATATGAATAATTGTCATTTTAAAATCTATTAGGCTAAACTTTATTTAATATTAAAAATAAAAGAAGATTCAAATGTAGAAATACTTTGATGTTAAAGTTAGTATAAGAAAAGAAGAATGAAGATAATATAAAAAAATATTTTAACAATACGTTATATTTTATAAAAAGTAAAATAATCTTATTTATAGGTATTTGGATATTTTTTATAGGTGTTAATAATTATTTTATAAATATAATATTATATATAATCAAATAATCAGATATATTATTATTATTATTGCACTTATATAAATTAATTAAAATAATATTTTTGTTAGATACAATAAATGTAAAAAATGGGATAGATAGAAAAATATTTATAAATAAAAAATAAAAAATCATCATAGCTTTTAAAATATGAATTTTTAAAATTAATTAAACATATATTTTATATTTATTAGTACTTAGTTTTTAAAATTTTGAGGAAACATAAGTGTTGATTTAAAATTTTAGGTCTGAAGATGAATGAATTTGTGACGCAGATGTGAGTTATGGAAGGAGGTAGAGTGAGGAGGGACCAGCGGACAAGAATGCATGGGAAGAATCCCTTATTGTTATCCACACCAAAATAAAGACCTGGATCCACAACCTGGACCCCCCACTTTCCCTCCCAATCTCTTCTTCTTTGACCTTTGACTACCTACTGTTACCAAAACTATCTTCTTTGCATTCTAACCCCTTTCATTTTCTCTATTCTCCAACTCCTCTTCTCCTTTCTTTCTATTTTCATTCATTCTCCCAGGACCAAAATTTAATCACCACTTATCTATTTATTTATTATTATTTTAAAAGTTATAATAGAATATTTTGTGCATTAAAATTTAGTATATCAATTAAGAAAAAATTATCATATCAGAAAAGTGCCTCCCGCTAACTAAAAAAAGTTAACAAAGCAGGTACATGGAGGACAAAGTGTATTTATTTTACTCATATTATATATTTTTTCAAATTCCCATTTTTAGAGCTATCATTTGCGTACTACGATTGGATTACTTTATTTTCAATAAATATATATAACCCTCGTGTCTCAAGGCTAGAGAATCAACCTATTATTATGTTTTAATTCTTGTTAGGGGGTATTATACCCTATTAGCTACTAACTTTGTAGAATCTACCAAGAAAGTATTGGCTTTATGGTTCTCCGTTTCGAAACCTTCAATAATTTCAACTTTTCAAACTTCAAATTGCAAAGGAATTTCAACTTTGAATTCAATTAGCGAAATATACTGATTGAAGAAATATAATAAAAGTTTAATTTTGATGGTTGAGTGACACATGGTATCCACTTGAAATAGTAGAAAAGGGTTTGATACTTTATCTTTATTCATTTGAAAAGCTTGGGCAGGATGATTATTAAGGTGGAAAAGAGGGAAGGAGGAGGAAAAGGAAAGAGTAAAGAGGGAAGAAAAAGAAAAGAAGGGGGCAATTAGTTGATGTGCAGAGGAGTAAGATTTTAGGCAGGAAATGTGGGACCGAGAGGTGGCATATTTGGTTTGACCAATATTTTGGCATTGGGCAAACAGGGTTAGATTCCAAGGAAGATGCCACCACACGTGTGGGGGAAGGGGGGAGTCAGATAAGGGGCAGGGGGGGTGGCAGGGGCAGTCCCACTCTGTGCCTGTTGGGTATGTTCCTCTGTTCCATCTCATATAAGAGAAAGTAAAGCGTGACATAGCTAAAGAGAATTTGCAGACCCTTCAGATTTAGCACAATTATTTTCCTCAATATAAATATTATTTATTATTTTATTATTATTTCTCCTACCCACACTCTTCATCCCTTCTATCTTTCTCTACTATCCTATCCCACCTTATCCCATTACAAACAATGCCGGGAAGTTTAGAACCCTTGGATTTGGGGGTTCACATACCCTACCACTTCAGATGCCCAATTTCGCTCGAACTCATGCGAGACCCAGTAACGGTCTGCACCGGTCAAACCTACGACCGACACAGCATCGAGTCATGGGTGAGCACCGGCAACACCACGTGCCCCGTCACACGTGCCACTCTCACCGATTTCACCCTAATCCCCAACCACACCCTCCGCCGCCTTATCCAAGAGTGGTGCGTTGCTAACCGCGCTTTCGGCGTCGAGAGAATCCCCACTCCGAAACAGCCCGCAGACCCTGCCTTGGTTCGCTCCCTTCTCAACCAGACATCCTCCGATTCCGCTCCAACTCACCTTCGTCTCTCCGCGCTCCGTCGACTCAGACAACTCGCTCGCGACTCGGACAAGAATCGCTCCCTCATTTCCTCTCACAACGTCCGCCAGATCCTTCTCCCTATTGTTTTCAATGCTTCCGAAGAGTTGAAACACGAGTCGCTTGCGCTACTCGTTTTGTTTCCGCTCGGCGAGTCTGAATGCGCCGCGCTCGCCTCCGACTCCGGGAAGGTTAATTATCTCTCGCGGTTGCTCTCGCACAACTCGCTCGACGTCCGAGTTAACTCGGCCGCGTTGATTGAGATCGTCGTCGCCGGGACTCACTCGCCGGAGCTCCGCGCGCAGGTGAGCAATGTCGACGAAATCTACGACGGAGTCGTGGACCTGCTCCGCAACCCGATTTCGTACCCGCTCGCGCTCAAGATCGGGATCAAGGCCTTGTTCGCGCTGTGCTTGGTGAAGCAAACGCGGCACAAGGCGGTGGCCGCCGGCGCGCCGGCGGTTCTCGTTGACAGGCTCGCGGACTTTGAGAAATGCGACGCGGAGAGGGCGCTCGCCACGGTGGAGCTCCTCTGCCGGATTCCGGTGGGATGCGCGGCGTTCGCTGGCCACGCGCTGACGGTGCCGATGCTGGTGAAGATAATTCTGAAAATATCAGATCGCGCGACCGAGTACGCCGCCGGAGCGTTGCTGTCGCTGTGCTCCGAATCGGAGCGGTGCCAGCGAGAGGCGGTGACGGTGGGCGTGCTGACTCAGCTTCTGCTTCTGGTGCAGAGCGATTGCACGGAGAGAGCGAAGAGGAAGGCGCAGATGTTGCTGAAGCTTCTTCGGGATTCGTGGCCGCAAGATTGCATCGGAAATTCTGACGATTTTGCATGCAGCCAGGTCGTTGTGGTTCCCTTTTGACCATTTTTTTTTCTTGTAATAATCTCCATAATTTTAGTTAAAAATATATTTGAAGAAAATATGGACAAAGGTTGTGAAGTGGAAGCTTAATTAGTGTTTTTTTGTCTAGATTGGTAAATAAATAGAATTGTAATTCTGTATTTAATTTTTTTTTCTTCTTTGTTTTGTATGTAACGATTATTGTGAAGAACGAAAGCAAAATGTTTCGTCTGAGTTTGTAATTTTTTAAGATGAAAAATATCAAAATAGAGCTAACTTTCTGTTTTCTTTTTCTTCTCCGTTTCTCTCCCCTGGTTTGTTTCAAGTTTCTAGTGATATAATTTATGTTTAGAAATGAAATTATGATCAAATTGGTTGGTGTTTTGGTTGGTTATCAGTATTCATGAATGTGCTTTTGCACCTTGTGGTTTTTAGGGGGGAAAGGAAACATGCACTGCCATTCGGTGAAGTACACGTTTCTGTTAGCTCCATAGACAGAAGTGTTTTTGACTTCCGAGGAACATCATTTTGAATAATCATTATGTTGGGGACTCCTTTCCGTGGCTGCTACTGCTCACCAAAGAAGAAAGATAGTACATCTTTTCTGTTTTGTGAATATGCATTTTTTTAATTGATGTAGCTTTTTCCTAATATTTTTCTGTGCATCAATTTCGAACGTTGTTTGTAGATATTTATTTTCTGGTCTTAACCCAGTGTTGGTGAAAAGAAATATACGTGGATAGATGTGGGTTGAATTGGAATATGTAAAAGGCAAGTTCAACATACAGTGTGGAGTATTTTATAATTGGTAGAGGAGTCGTATAAAGGAAATAATTGACAGGAGATAATAGAAAAATGTGAAAGTGAAACTACAGATGGTGCATTCCAATGAAAGGCTATCTGTATGGAGCATTACTATTTATGAAGTTGAATAGCGTACTAGTCTTTGACTAAGAAGTTTGAGCAAGAACAAAATAGAGAGAGCAGAAGGTTGCACGGGTTTGAAACGTCTTTGAATGAAAAGGAAAGAGGGGGCACATGTGAGGGAACCAAGGGGGGTCCACACGGTCCTACTACAAGGATTGGAAAAATGGTTTATGTGGCTTACAAATAGAGGGGTTGAAGGTCACATGTTGGTGGGAATCAAACCATGGTATCACATGGGTGTTTGGTTATTTGTTATTCTCTTCACCCCTTTTTCATTTTTTGTGATGGGTACTAATACCACTACTGGTGCTCACACATCACATGTCCAGCCCAACTTTGTTTCTGCTCCACAGTCCCTTACAGATGGAAATTTATTTTGTCTTCCAACCTCAGGATATGTAGCACTGGGGACCCATCATCTACTGTCGCCCTTTTTAGCTTTTTCTAATTATCTTTTATTCCCCTTTTGGGACACCAACCAGTACCACTCACCCAAGGCATGAGGTGATAGGGAACCTTTCCAGCGAGTTTTTAACAATAATTTAGAGTATTTTTTTCGAGTCAGAGACTGTATTGTATGTAAAGGTACATAGGGTGAGATTTCATTCATGATTCAGCTGTGTCTTGCTGCTTTTGGGTTGTCTCCAAGAAAAGAAGTCAAATTGATATTTACACTGTTTCCCCTCTTAATTGGAGAATGCATGATATCATTCATGCTTGACAATGAGTCTGTTCTGTTTGTTCGCATGCTTGATATGTTGTTTTCAGCATTCCTACAGTACAATTAAATGCTTTCTGCATACAAAAATTCAAACACTAACGTAAGGGTCTTAGTCTTATAGTGATCAACGACATTACTACTACCTGTATACTGTGCATGTATAATGGGTTCTTATGCATTCAACCATCACCTTCACTCCACACACTATTGAAATTACTAAAGTGAATAACCACACGTGCTCTTCTTCATTGCTTTTTGTTCTCAAGTTTGCATTGACAGCAAAAGTCGGGTGATTCTAGAATAGTGCACTTCCTGTTTAGAGTTCAGAGACCAAGAGTGGAACTGTTGTTGTCAAGGACTATGAGTGATTAGAAGGTCCAATATTGTCCATGATGGTGACCATTGTTGATCTATATTTTGTTTCACTGTTGATTTTTTTTTACGGAGACCAGTTTGCATCTCCTATGGTGGTTAACTAAATAATGCGGTGCAATTGAGCAATGTCAAACTGAAGCTTGAAACTAAACCCTCGGTTATTCTACTTTAGATAATATATTTTAGTTGTTGTCTAAAGTAAAGAATGGTGTATTGCAAAGAAAAAATATTGATGACAATATGCTATGAGTAGTTGTATTAGAAAATGTTGAAAAAAAATCTTATGACGAGAAGGTTGATCCTTGTCAACTTTAACGAGAGTTGCTCCTCAAAAATATCTTATCAACTTGTCATCACTTCCATAAATTTTGATGTACCTAAGAAACATTATGTATAAAGAAATGAAAACAAAGAGCTCCCCATATTAAAATCTAAAAAAAGAAAAACGAAACATAGGATAAAAAAAAAGAATTTAGGTGACCTATCTAAAAGTTGAGACAACTAATTATGTTGAAAATTCAAAGAGTATTATCAATTGCAACAAAGAATAAAAAATGAGAGAAATTAGAGGATAATTGATGAATACATAAAATTACTTAAGGAATAAATTTACAAAGTATCTTATGTTCTTAAGGAATGAATTTACAAATTTACAAAGTATCTTATGTTCTTAAAGGTTAATGAATGAGTTCAATATAAAGATTAATATTTTTTGAATAGAAACCTTCACATTGTCATTTTTATTTATATTATTATAGTTGTCTTGTTATCAATTGCTCTTATATTCGAGAGTTTTATTCTAATTAATAAATATTATTACAATTACTTAACCATCGTATCATTACGTTATTTCATTATGTTATATATCAATGATTGGTGTTTTTATAAGAGCCACAAGAAATGTGGTGATTTTATAAGTGGCATTAATAAAAATAATCACTTACTGACAATTTAGAATCTTAAATAATACAACATAATTTAAGATTATCCTAACATGCTTCAGAAAGAAAAATACTAGTCAAAGATTAATGCCCACTATAAATCTTGATATGTTTGAAATTGTATGAGGTCAAGGGTAAGAAAATGTGCATTAAAATTTATTTATTAATAAAAAAATATTATGTGTCACACATTGGCATGTTTTCATATTATCTATGCATTACATATTATAAATTATCTATGCATCACACATCAAGTCACATTTATAAATTGCATATCAGGCATTACTTATTGAAGTCAAGCATAAATATTTACCAACAATTTTCTACTCATATTCATAAATGATTGATTTCAACGTACTATCAATATCTTTAAATTCAAATTTTTAGGCTTTTTTTTTTTCTTCATATGAGGTGCTTATGTCCACATTTAATGGGTCCTTGAGCCCATTACTTCTTGGTTCACACAACTATACCTTATGCTTTATATTGTATTTGGATGAAGAGTTTATAAAGGGTAATTCATTTTAATAGAGTATTTAAAATATTTTATGACAAAATTAATTGTGTTGGATAGAAAATTTTGAAAGTAATTAAAATTTTAAAAATTGATGAAAGTATTTTGATTATTTAAAATTTCAAACATTTTCAATTGCTTGTTACTTTGTCAACCAAGCCTTTCTATATGTCATAGTGTATCCAATTAAGGATTTGATATGAACAATAATAGTTACAATAGGGATAGAAGGAAGCATGTTCACAATTTCATGAATATGTTGTGAAATTATACGTGATCCCAACTTATTGTGATCTTGTGATATTAAAGGCGTAACATATATGTAGGTTCTTTCTATCTCTTGAATATGTCAAAATTGTTCTTTGGTGCATTCTCACCACATTACACTCTTAATCTAGTGGTGTTGGAATGTGTGACTTTGTAGGTACAATGAATAATTATGTGGAACCTGTTAAGTGCGTCAACCATTTCTTCCTTATTTTGGAACCACATTCCTTTAATTAATGATTCAGGTGAATGTTCCACTGATTCATGATCAAATACATAACCAAATTTACTATTTTGTTCATAAGATGGTGTGGTAAAAGTTTCAAAATGTTAAGGGGGATGTATGGATGGGGTAAATGATGTTGGGATTGTTGTTGTATGCAGGGACCTCTAAGTTGTCATCATCCTCATCATCACTAAAATTCTAAAGATGTTGAAGGAAATCCTAAAGTTTCATTTTCGGATAAAAAAGAAGATAGTAGTGTTGTGATTGCATGGGTGAGGGAGGGAAAAACATTTGATGTAAATGAATCAGTTAGAAGTTGGTTGTATGATTGTACATCAGCTTTCCATTCCCTTAAAGAGGTGTCGTTGAAAGGTGTCACCAACCTAAAAATATTGTTCAAGATAAGATTCCTTTATATCATACATTGTTCAAGGTGTCAGTAAAAAATAATGGTTAAAATTGAATCCCCAAATATCAACAATCCACATTTAACACTCATTGTCAAACGTCAAAGTCAAGTCACTATTACGCTGTCTAAGACCCAACTTAAAATAAAAAGTATACTAATTTATTATGGGGGCATTTTTATCTGCATAATATAGTAAGTGACATATCTAAATTCAGGTTTGGTCTCATAAAAAATTTGCCCACTCATCTTGCCTATCAACACTCATATCTAACATTTGTATTATTCTTCTTTTTACTTTTCAAATGGAGGAATTTGACATCACAAATATTGAAAATTTCGATAATTCTTATCTTGCACCAATGCTTGCAAATGAGCAAATCACAACAAATGAGGAAGGAATATACTTTCAATGTGCATCTCCTAAACTTTTTTGAATTCCACATTCATCATTATGAAGAAAATAGATGCATTTCTTTAGGGATTCCTGCAGACACCTCAATCAACAAGTTGTATTGGCATCAACCAAAATTAACAGGTGATGGTTTAATTATATGTGATGTTACTTAATTATTTTCTGATATTGATGTATCTAATAAGATTACTTGGAAGTCACAATTCTCTTTCGATACTATCATTGAATT